GACTTGCTTGAGCGGTCCATCGACGACGATGGTGGTCGCATGAATACTTAGTCATGATGTGGGTGAGCCGGCGAGCTGGGCCGCCGGCTTGCGCCGGGTTGTCGGGCAGTGAAGTGTTCAACGTTCAAGTTCCAACTCGTCCGTAATCAGTGCCAGTGAGCTGTCAAGACTTAAATGAAAAGCGGCAGAATCCTCGCGGCAGCTCCCGGGAGAGTTATGGGCGTACAGCAGCAGTGTTCGCAGTGCGAATACTCACCGTACGGCAAACCAGCAGGTCATTTGTTTTAGCTGTTGGCGGACCATCGCCATTCTCTGAGGATCCGGAGTCCACGTATATTACTGGCCCGATTCGTCATATATTACACGGCACGGTCCGACGAAGGACGGAGAGCGGCTAGGAGGGATAGAGCCGTACAAAGAGTTCGGTAAGTTCTTGATATTCTCCCTCTCTTCCCTCTTTTTGCAACTTGATTAACTTGAATTCCTCCCAATCTCCCCAGACATAATCTATAAGCCTGAAATAACGTCTGGAAACGAGACTATCTTTCATGAGCCCAAAGCTGCCGAGCACAAACCCACGCTCGAAACAAGATTCGGATCACACCGTTGGGAAAGGCGGCGCGGCCGGCTATTTCCTCTCGGCTATCAACCATTCCACGTCTAAAAAATTAAATAGAGTTTACGCGTCGCGCCGGCACTCAACTGCGCCAGACTGCGCCGCAGACCTATGGCTGTCAAGGAGGTGGGATGGCCCACAACGTCAACGTCCTTTCATGCATGCCGCTCGGACGCGTATATCTGGCTTGGCTTAACTGGGGTTTCTCTTGGAAACCGGCCCGGGGTTTCGAAATAGAATCATCCGTAAAGGAGCCATCCTATAAAGGGGATTAAATTGAGATGAACAGGTCTAACTATCCACAGCTTGCAACGTCACCACCACAATGTCCTCTCAACGCTCAATCGCTATCGTCGGTGCTGGTCTCGGTGGTATGTGTTGTATTTACACCGTCGCATCTTCCACTCACCCATTCTATTCAGGTCTAGTTTGTGCGCGCATTTTGCAACTACACAACGTACCAGTCGTTATCTATGAACGCGAGCCAACGTCGGCGTCTCGCCAGCAAGGAGGGTCGCTCGATATGCATGCCGAATCTGGTACCAAGGCGCTCGAAATGGCCCAACTGCTCAATGAATTCAAGAAGGTCGCTCGATACGAAGACCAGAACATGAAGATAGTGGGGATCGATGGTACTGTTCACTTTGCGGACGAAGAGCTGGCTGAGGGGCTGGCTGAGGGCCAGGTGGGGGACCGTCCCGAGGTGGATAGGACTCTTCTCCGTCAGATCTTCCTGGACTCGTTGAAACCTGGCACAGTCAAGTGGGTGTCCTCGTTCCGTCTCACTGATTATCACTGACTTTCCCGCTGATGGAACCATGGCGTTTCCAAGGTCATCCAGGAAAACTCCAAAGCTACAATCCACTTCCTCGACTCTGCGCTCGAACCTGCCGTCCACAATTTTGTTGTCGGCGCAGACGGAGCTTGGTCTCGCATACGACCTACACTTTCTTCCGTCGTGCCAGAGTATGCAGGCATCACTTATATCGACATTTTCCTCGCCGACGTGAAGAAGAACTATCCCGATCTCGCCGCTTTTGTGAAAGGAGGCATGGCCATGGTGTTGGGCGACAACAAAGGCATCTTGGCTCAGAAAAACGGCAACGATGTTGTTCGCGTTTACGCGGCCTTCCGCAAACCAATTGCCTGGCTAGATGCAATAGGGCTGAACTCGCTTGTCGAGGGAGGAAAGCACGCAGAGGCGAGAGAGCTATTGCTCAAGCAATTTGAAAGGTGGTGCCCTGAAGCGACCGGCTACCTCAAAGTACCCTGCTTCTCCATGGATGTTCGACCCTTGTATCAATTCAAAAAACGCCATACTTGGGACACAAACCCCCACATCTCTCTCGTGGGCGACGCAGCGCATGTCACGGTAGAGTCCTTTAACTTGCATTAAAGTATACAATGCTGATTCAATCGCATCAGGTTCCAAACGGCGAGGGCGCCAATTTGGCTATGCTGTATGTCCATCTTCTGCTTCAACTTGTGTTTCCCGGTTGACACCTCTGTAGGGATGGACTGGAGCTTGGTATTGCAATCGCGGAAAATATCTCCGCGAACGAAGAGTCGTGGCTCAAGGCTATCAAGGGATTTGAGGTTGAAATGCAACGTCGCGGGTGGGAGGGGCCTGAGGATGAGTTGACTTTGGATGCCTTCATCTCGGACGGAGATGCAGCTGCTCGTGCTGCTGCTAATATGCGGAAGGCGATGGCGATGGCGATGGCGATGGCGGCGGCGGGGGACGCTTCACACTAAATGGATAGGCTCGCGTTTGATTGGAAGTAGATATGTATTCCATATCTTGTTTCAAAAGATCTCTGGTAAGTAACGGAATGACAATAAAAAATCCGTCAAAGTGGCAATCTGTATATCCATTTGCGGCATCTAGAATTAAATTCTGGACTTCCACAGTGATGAATAGTCCGGGGGGGGAGGGATGTCATACCACGGTCACTCTCCTTGTTCGTGATGCTATTCTGCTTGAAGCTCATCCTGGGCAGCTAGAGCTCGGTTGCGAGAACATGTGGCCAAACCATGCCAATACAGGTATGTACTCCACCTGGATGTACGGCGTGAAGAGCGCGGACATTTCCAACATCCACTATTTAGTTGAGCACACTGATTTCACGAGGGATTTTTGAAGACAACTAGGGCACGTGGAAACTGCGTTAGTGTAACTTTGCCTGTTCATTACGGCCTATACAAGGCATCTAATCTGAGGCCGCTCGCTTAGATTGGAAATTCTGCAGGATTTTAGAGATGCAGGATTCGTCGGACATTGTCTCGGGCGGTTTCTGGTTGATCCGGCGTCGTTTTTAAGTTGAGGATCCAGAGATGGAGCAGGGCATTCATTTGCGTGAATTTTGAGCTGAGCGCCAGGCAAGAGGGTTGTCATGCAGGATAAAGGTAACCGCAACTATAGTTGCGACTGTCCCAAATTTAGGGGATTGCAAGCTTGCGCTGTGGTATTACGCACCAGACTCATTGTCAACTGCGGTCGGCCGTTTGGCGCGCTTGGCACTCGAGTTGGCGGGTAAGGTGTTCACAACTTTCCTCCTTTTTGTCACTGCACTGTCTAAAAGAGCTGGATCTCTGTCTTTGGCCAAAAGAGTGGTTCAGGGATGTCATTCGCCGTAGGATATGTCACCAGCGGGTTTGTCTTTTAACGGGTTGAATTCAATATCCCCGTGAAAATGAAGAGGGTCGACCTCAGTGCCTGCGACGGCGCGACAGATTTGATGATATGTTGATCATTCAACCGTTCGGCGTTGCGAATGAAGGTCCATTTTTTGTCCATCTTTTGTAAGTGCTGAGCGCTCTGCTTGGGTTTCAAGATGAAAGATCCCAAAAGACAGCAGCAAAATGTCTGCTCCGCCCCATATAATACTCATAAACGAGCTCAGTCGTATAGACTGCTGATTGCGGTTACGTGATTTCACCGAAAACTTGCCGAAAACTGAGGACTGAGAAAGGCAATAGACTCGCAACCAGTCTGTAAACAATTGCCGAAAAAATGCGGCAAGCGCTTCGGTGTTTACAGACTGGTACAACTTGTTGATCATAATCGGGCTGTCCGCGGAGTTTGAAAATTTGGCGAGGGCTCTGTTCTGGGATGCAGTTTGGGCATGAATATACTTGAAGTACCTAGGAGTAATATGACCCTAAAACTGCTTAAATCTGTCTCCTCATTTAATTTTTTTTCGGCTTGGAAGAGCGGAAAGAGCTATCAGCTTTCGACCAGAAATGATCGGGTTTGATGGCTCCTCAGCCGGCCGATCGCGGCACCTGCTAAAATTTCAGCCGCACCCTAAAGTCCGCCTGAATTGTGAGCTTTAGGGAACATTGTCAGTGCATCAGATGCCCTTATTTTTAAATTTACCGGTGTGAGTGGCCAAACGACGAACCAGCCAAACATGAGTGGCAAAGTGTGGTTCATTTTCCATTTCCCGTGGGTCTTGGCCACCTGGAATCGCATTAAATATTTCAAGCACTCGCCCACATTCATAAATATGCACGTAATCATTTTAGCTTGGCTCGAGTGACTGAATTGATATCAACCAATTGTCGGAAAAACGTAAGTGCTCTTATAGAAATTATCTTGTACAGTGTTATAACAGCTTTGTAAAGTTCTTACAAGCTTCTTAAGAAGCCATCTGGCATCACCCCGAAGGTCAAGTTGACATTTTCGGAATAAAGATCTGCTAAAAGGCGCTGTAAGGCCTTTTAAGCTACTTAAAAGGATTTTTCTATTTTCCCGACACATTTGGGGCATCTCCAATGTAGAGTTATGCTGATGTTCAGCTCCTATCCACAGCCCTCACATCATTGCACTCGATTGGAAGCTAGATAACCCACAGTTCAATATTTGTGACTTCGAAGCTTGGAGTGTATCTGTACCCAATGTGTTTGGGGGTCATATCTTGCATTTCGCAGACAACACCCGTTCGCCTCGGGCTCTCAAGCCATCAGCCATTTCGACTCTTTTTTTATCGTCGCTGAATAGAGCGAGTAACCCAACAGTTATATGCTGGATTAATTTGGATGCTGCAGAAAATGCCCCTTGAGCCGTGTTTCGACATTGCACATGTGTTCCTTTTTTTGTTGCACGAATTAATTTGAACGGGTAACCCACAGTTCGAATTATACCATGAAAGGCTCGGTAGCGCGTGGAGCGCATCTGCACCCAATGATTAAATAATTCGCTTCATTCTGCAGAAAACACGCCCGTTCGACTCGGGCCTGAGCCATACGTCGGATCGGACACTTCCTTTTTTTTTTTGGAGCGTTTGGGATAATGAAATTCAGCCACTTCTTCCCATTTCTCTTTTTAGAACCTACTTCTGAATTCGAGTGAGTGGCGCACAGTTCGAATTGTATGACTCAAGGCTTGGTAACGTTGGAAGCGCATCTGCGTTCAATTACAATTTTCAAGTGCGCGCTGAGTACTGAGCAGACAACGCCGGTTCGACTCCGGCCTGAGTCATATGGGGGTCACGTTCTTTTTTTGGCGCCCAAATAATTTTGAACGGGTAACTCACAGTTCGAATTATATGATTCAAGGCTCGGTAGCGCTGGGAGCGCATCTGCGTTGAATTGCATCTGAGATATCAAGTGTGCACTGAGCAGACACCGTCCGTTCGACTCGGGCCTGAGCCAATTCTCTCTCTCTCGGTTTTTTTTTGGAAGGTACGACTGAATTTCGGCTGGCTAACTAACTCAAGGTTCAAAATAATATATGACTTCGAGACTTGGCAGCGCATGGAGCGAATGTGCATTAAATTATAATTCATCGTCCATCCACAGCAGCGCAAGGTTCAAAATATATTATTCAAGGCTTGGTAGCGTTCGACAGTGCGTGGTTGTATTCGCAAAAATCATTGGAGCAGACAACGAATCACCTGTTCGACTCGGGCTTGAGCTATGATGATAGCGGAAGCTGTTTTTATTCGCCTGATTTCGAGGCGGTAACCTGGCACGGCTCAAATATATGATACAAGGCTCAGTAGCGCTGGGAGCGCATCTGCGTTAAATTACATGTGCGATTTCAAGTGCGCATTGAATAGACACCGCCCGTTCGACTCGGGCCTGAGCCAATTCTCTCTCTTTTTTGTTTTTTTGGAAGGTATGACTGAATGTCGACTGGCTAACGAACTCAAGGTTCAAAATATATGACTTCGAGGCTTGGTAGCGCATGAAGCGTATCTGCATTAAATTAGAATTCATTGTGCATCCACAGCAGCAGAACAAAGTTCAAAATATATTATAAAGGCTTGGTAGCATTCGACAGTGCATGGCTGTATTCGCAAAAACAACAGTGGAGCAGACTCGGGCATGATGATTTCGGGAGCTGTTTTTATTCGCCTGATTTCGAGGCGGTAACCCACAGTTCGAATTATATCTATATCATTCAAGGCTTCGTAGCGCGTGGAGCGCATCTGCATGTAATTTATGCATAAGAAAGTGCAGCAGACAATGCCCGTTCGACTCGGGAATGAGCCATATGACAGGTGGCTGCTGACTATTTTTTTTGGTGATGCCCGTTCGACGGCGACACCCATCCCAATTCTCTCTCTTTTTTTGGAATGTACTGATGAACTCAGCTGGCTAACCCACGGTTCAAAATATATTATTGGAGGCTTGATAGCGCGTCTGCGTTAAATCGAATGGGGAATTTTAAAGTGCAGCAGACTGAGAAAACAGCCCTTCGACATCAGTTTTGATTTTTTTTATTGGTGATCACACCGCTGAATGTGGTCACAGTTCAAATTATGTGACTTCTAGGCTTGGTAACGCTTGGAGCGCATCTGCACCCAATGCATGTGCTGGGTTAACTTGCATTCTGCACAAGATACCCGTTTGACTCGGGCCTGAGCCATGTTTGACTAGTATTTGTCCTTCTTTTATTTTTTTGTCGCATGAATAATTTTGAATGGATAACTTAATCAGGGTTGGTTCAAAATATACCATGAAAGGCTTGGTAGCGCGTGGAGCGCATCTGCACCCAATGCATGAATAATTCGCTTCATTCTGCAGAGAACACGCCCGTTCGACTAGGGCCTGAGCCATAGGCGGGAGACACTTGTTCCCGTTTCTCTTTTTGGAACCTACTACTGAATTTTGGGCGGGTAAGCCACAGTTTGAATTGTCTGACTCAAGGCTTGGTAGCGCTGGAAGCGCATCTGCGTTTAAATACAATTTTCAAGTACGCACCGAGTACTGAGCAGACACCGCCCGTTCAACTCGGGCCTGAGCCATTATCCTGGTGATCGTCAATTCTTTTTTTTCGTCATATCGGTGGCACTCCTTCAGATTAACCATTTCTTGGCTTGGAACGAGCCCTGAAGACGAATTGGAATGCCCCCAAAAAATAACTATTTCGAGCACCCTCAAAAAAGACAAGGCATGGCAGAACCCCGAGTCGAACGGGGAAATTGCAGATTCTTCAATTCAGGAGATAGAAACATTTGCTGCATGCGCTCCCTGCGCCTTCCTGCCTTTGAGGATACAATAAATCAAGTTAATTCGAAAGAAATCGCGAGTTAGGGGCGTCGGCACCTCCCGGCTGAGTCAGCTGATGCCCCACCGCTCCGCTCCTCTCCTCCCTCCGCTCGATACTCCTCTACCTCACGCCCAGGAGACACGTAACCCTGATTTTTTCGATGCCCCGCCCATCCACACCCGTCGTCCTCTCCAATCGATCCCATTATCCCAGGCACGTCTTCTCCCTTTTTATTCCACTCGCCTTCTCCGCCCGCCTCCCTCCTCCCCAATCCCCATCGTCTTCCGCATCCCTAATATGTATGCACCCCGTCGCGCGCTGTCGTTTCCAGCGGCGCAATGTGCTTGCCACCGACGCTGACGTACCGCCTGTCTCTCGGGCGCTCTCCTAAATATGACGCCTTCCGGAACGGCCGCCGCATGCGAGACTCCTGCCCAGCTCCTGCTACATGACGCGTAGCATCCTCGCCACGCGACGCGCGTACTCATCATCGCGCGCGCCTCTTGACGAATTGCGGCATGCAATGAACACCAACTCTCTTCCTTATAAGTACGTCAATCCTCCCCGTCGCCACCCTGCGCCTCCTCTCCCCACCCTCTTAACTCCCCGTTCTTCTCACCTTCCCTGCTCGTTTGCTCGCTCGCCCCTCCTTCCCTACACCCCCGATTCCTCCCTTTCTCCTCCCACAGCACGCTCTAGTCGAGCTCGCCCGCCGGCTAGTCGTATTCACGCCCTCGCTCATCCCCATCCCGACTCCGATCTCCACCCCCGCGCCCTCCCGCAGCACACGCTCCCCCCCCCTGCCCGCCGGATGCTCGTATTCGAATGTACGCTCGCCTTGATTCTCCCCCCCACCCCCCACCTCATCGCCTTCCTCTTCCTCCTCCCCTTCGCCCGACTGATCTCTCCCCGCAGCACACGCTCCCCACGCCGCGCTCACCTCGGCCGGACGGTGCACGCTCGGGCGATGGTGCTCTCGAGTGCGCGCCCTCCGCCCCTCGCGCCGGCCGGATGGTCGTATTCACGTCCGTGCTCGGGGCGATGCCATCAGGCTAGCGGGCGCCGAGGGTGGGTCGTCCTCGACATCCATCGGGGGCTTGCCGTGCGTCCCGCGCGTGTGTGCTGGGGTTGTACTGCGGCCGACGGGGTGCGTGCCGACGCAGGTGAGAGATTTGCGTGCGGACGTCGGCATGCTGACGGGCTTTGGGCATGTATGTTACCCGCGTCGTGGTCGCGGTGGGGGTGCATGGCAGGCGCATCTCCGATTGCTGAGCGTCCGACTCCGTACCCGTGCGGTGCGGGGTCGGATGCATGTATGTGTGGTGGCGTGCTGCGTGCACGGCGGCGGCGCTCTTCGCTACGGGGGAAGGGGGGGGGCGTATCTGGAGAGCTACGCATGACGTGTCTCCTCTTCGGGCCGTGCGTTACATGCTTTCGCGGGCCGTGTGGGTGGTAGTTGCTGTGGGCGTACGTAGGTGAGCGTAACGCTGGCGAGTGTGCTGCGGCCGACGCGGGTCGGGGATTGGCGGGCAGGATGTGTGCGTGTGGACGTGGGTGGTCGGCGTGCTGCGCGCATTGGGCGTGGCGGTGGGGGGAGATATACGCTACGGATGAAGGGCGGGAGATATGCATGAGCGTATCTGGAGGCGCATCTCCGACTTCTGGGCGTCGCTCGTACCTGCCGCGCGTTGCCTGCTTTCGCAGGCCGTGCGGGGGTCGGATCGGCAAGGTGGTGGTGCTGTTGGCATCTGCCTGCATGGTTACCTGCTTTCGCAGGCCGTGCGAGTGGTAGTGCTGTGGGCGTGGTGTGAGCGTACGCATGGCGAGTGTGCTGCGTCCCCACAGCAGACTCGTGTGTATGCTGGGAGTGTGCTGGTCGGGGATTTGCGTGCGGACGTGGGTGGTCGGCGTGGGGTGTCGGCGTGCTGCGCGTCATTGGCGATATACCCGCGTCGTTTCGCTACGGGTGAAAGGGGGGAGAGATGCATGGCGCATCTGTCAGCGCGCTTCCGTATCTGCCTGCACGGGCCCGTGCGGGGTCGAGTATGCAGGTGGGCGTACGAGGGCGAGCAGGAGATGGATGGTGTGCCACTCAATACGCGTGCGTTATTGCCATGACCGGCCGGGAAGTTTGCGGACATCGCCTTCACGTGGAGTAGACCATCGCGGGCCCGTTTCTCGTTATTGGCACGCCGTGGGGTGGGCGGGATAGCGCAACGCAGCCTCTTGTGGCGTGGAGCGCACTGGAGGGGTTCGCCGACAGAGTGGGGGGCTGGGCTCCTCCCCTGCGCCTTCGCAGTACAGGATGGGGCGTCGCGCCTCGACTCGGATGCAGATGCGGAAGCGGCGGGAGTGGTTTCTGGCATAGAGGCGCGGGTGGGGTGCGGGTCTTTTGCCTTGGGAGGCGTGGTGGCGGAGGTGGAAGTGTTCGCGGCGGAATTACTGTACTATTTCGATCAATTCGAACAAGGTCCCGACTTTTTGGAGGAAAAAAAAGTCTGATAAATCGAGAAAAAATTATTGCCGCAATAAACAAGGTGGCGCGTGACGCGTGACGTTCGAATTGAATGAAATAGTACAGTATGCCCATTTCTGCTTTGTATTTGTTAGGCGAATGGCAGTGCGGCAAGCGAGGCCAAACAAACGCGTCGCGTGTGCAATTCTTTGACAAAAGTGTGATCGCCAGAAGAGAAAAAAAGGTAGCGGGATATTAAATGTGCAAATTTACCGCCCCACATTAGGCTTGCATTAATATTCACATATACAACGCACTGTTCGCTCTGAGGATGTTTTGTTGAATCTTCAGTCTTTGATCATATATCAGTGACTACAATTCGCAACTCCCGCGAAGGACGATATCGTGAGATCAGCTATGAACAAAGAAAGCACACGGAAAACAAGGAGCCTGAACGAAAACCGTTTCATTCTTATGAACGAGGCGCGAGTCCAGCCAGCCACATCAATGCCACGCGCCGTCACGCATAAAGGAAGCCAATCGATACGACGGAACAGATATAACGGAACAAAAGCAGGAGTAGACGCTCACCAAATGGCCAAAAATGTTGCGCTCAATCCGCAATCTTCGTGAGGTAGCAGCGCTGCCGCCTCGCCAACACTATGCTTATCTTGGCTGGGCTAGCGTATTCGGCTTGTTCTGAGTCTTCCGTTTTGCTGGTGGGATGCGTGGTGAGCTGCCGGTGAGGGCAGCCCGCCGACGTGGTCTCTGTAAGTAAGAGATTAGATTAGATTATACAACACGCAATAGACTTGCTTGAGCGGGCCATTGACGACGATGGTGGCAGAATGATTACTTAGTCATGATGCGGGTGAGCCGGCGAGTTGGGGGCGCCGGCTTGCGCAACATCATCGGGCAGTGATGTGTTCAAGTTCCAACTTGTCCGTAATCAGTGCCAGTGAGCTGTCAACAAGCTGTCAAGACTTAAATGAAAACCAGCAGAATCCTCTCGGCAGCTCCCGGAAGAGTTTTGGGCGTACAGCAGTGTTCGCAGTGCGAATACTCACCGTACGGCAAACCAGCAGTTCATTTATTTTAGCTGTTGGCGGACCATCGCCATTCTCTGAGGATCCGGAGTCCATGTATATTACTGGCCCGATCCGTCATATATTCCACGGCACGGTCCGACAAAGGACGGATAGCGGCTAGGAGGGAGACAGCGAGCATGATTAATTTGGTAGTTGTCAACACGTGGGACTACACGTTGCAGATACAGCGCACTGTTCGCCTCTAACCACCATGGACAAGTCTCCGTGCATCCCCGCCAACTCCGACATTTCTGGTATTGGCGTCCGCGCAGCCATCTACGCACAAAATCTCTTATGTTTCGCGCCCGTTGTCGCGCATCTCTGGGATGGGAACATCTCTGCCGATGAGCTGAGAGGTGTCAAAGATCAATCCATCGGCATGCTCGCCGTTGCATTCGCGATTCTCATCTCCTGCATCATCGGTGCCACGGATATTGCCAGTGGACAAGGTCTAACCAGGTTCCATGCCGCTGTCATTCTCGATTTGAGTTGGATGAACAATACCAGCACTTGGATCTGGTTCCTGTTATATGCCCACCACATCACGAAGCCACTAGCACACGAGGCCATACCTGCGACCTGGTCAGCTTGGACCAATGTTCTTCTCTCCCCTCTTCGTCAACTTCAAGTTGGGGTCGGTCTCGGTCATCTGGAAGGAACTGTTGACACGGAAATGGGTACTTCCAGCAGGAGGCAGAGCAAACATAGGAGCAAAAGGCAGACAACTAGTAAGTAAATACTGGAGCTCCGAATCACACTCAAACCCTTGTCTTCAGTTGTTCAACGTGTCTGGTACTTTGTCTCCAAAAAACCCGTTCTCACCCTAGGTTCCATCCACCTGTCACTTATGGGTGCTATCGGTCTATGGCTCTGGAGTAATCCATCAAAATTTGGTACCTCCATCCACTGTGATCCATCACTTACCGTTGTTGGTGGTGCTGTGCGGTTCTCCTCGCCAGGAATGCGAATATTTTCATTGGCAATTTATTCCCTTCTTGTCATTCCTGGTCTCAACCTTGCCCCCCCCTTCCTCTTCTTCCTCGCATTCCATATAACGTACAACAAGTGCCATCCCCACTTCCGGGGACAGCTCGCGTGTCTCATCGATTTAATTCGACGCATTCCGACATTAACTGGTGCTCTCTATCGGAGGATATTTTGGAGGCATTACGGTGTATCCAACGATTTAGAGACGGGCACACAGTTGACTGA